TGTCCGGCCTGGGAGCGAGGGAGGAGGGTTTGGGTGGTATTATGGTGCGGTGAAAGAAGCCATGATGTGTTCGGTACAGTGTAGGATGGGGATATTCTACTTGGATGCAAGTGATGTTTTTGTAACCATAATGTGTCTTTTCTTAGTCTCCCAAAAAGGTTGGTGATGACATTGCCAAGGCCACGGGTGACTGGAAGGGGCTGAGAATCACGGTGAAGCTCACAATCCAGAACAGGCAAGCTCAGGTACTAAACGCCAGAAGGGATGGCTTAGTGGTGCAAGCATCAAGCACAGATGAGCTCTGCTTGCTCGAACCACAAGCTTAAATCCCGGCAGGGTCGACTCAGCCCTTCATCCTTCCGAGGTGGATAAAATGAGTTCCACACAGCCAACTGTGTGGGGGTCTTCAGGGAAAGACCTTAAAATGCCTGCATGAACCTTCTGAGTGCCACTGGATTGAATCTGGCAGTGGGGCGGGGTGTGTGTTTATGAAGCCTGGGGCTTGCCAGGCTGAAGGTTCCCAGCCTGTGAGCAATGGGAAGGGATCTGCCCATGTGCAGAAGCTGATCTTTTATCCTGTTGCAGATAAAATTGTTCCTTCTATGGAACATCTGACCAGGAAAAAACTACTTCAAGCAACACAGAAATTACAAAAAAAACTCCTTACCTAGTCCTGTAGCCACCTGCCACTATACCTGTCCTGAATTCCGTGGCTGGTATATTCCAGTGGTGAGCTGAGAGGAAGCCCCAGTCCAGGAAGCAGTCCTCTTCTTGCTGTGGGGAGGCCTGTGCCGAAAGGCTGGGAACAAGTTTTTGCATCACAAAAAAGCCTTGTGTACAAGTGAACTAACCAAAAATGCAGTGTTCTGGCGATAGCTTTCCAGGCACTGACTGCGTCGTTGAGTATTTTCATTGGCTACCTAATTCTCCTTGGAGGGGGGGCAAAATTAATCTCTTTTCATTTAGATTGAGGTTGTTCCTTCTGCCTCTGCTCTGATTATCAAAGCTCTGAAGGAGCCTCCTCGTGACAGAAAGAAGCAGAAAAACAGTAAGTTTTCATCTAGGTTTAGTTCTGAATGTGATTTGGTGCTAAGAGGGGAATGGGTACCTTCCTTCCAGATTATTCAGCATAAACTGGCAAACAAGTGCCATGGGGATGTATCTTGGGCAGCGGGAATTCCTTAAATGTCAGAGTACAGATGACAGTCTATGCAAGCAGAGTTCAGTTTCTTGGAAGATGGGGTAGAACAGCCACCTGCCACTGTACCTGTCTTGTAGTGCATTGACTAGTACAGTCCAGAGGTGAGCTGACAGAAAATGCCAACTTCGGAAACAGAGTTATTCATCTTTGGGGTAACTTTGTGCCAGAGTTGGGGAGCAGGTGCACTGATCACAGCCCCGCTGTAGTTGTAAAGTCTCTGGTTTCCATGTGGTCTGAGTGCTGGGAATGGTGCTTCTCTAATGAAGCATGGGGGACTGGGAAGTGCCCTGTGTTTACATGAACTTACTAGTGCTGTTGCCTTGCTTCACAGTTAAGCACAGTGGCAGTGTCAGCTTTGATGAGATAGTGAACATTGCACGGCAGATGCGGCACAGGTCCCTGGCTCGAGAGCTCTCGGGTAAGTACTGGTGCTGGAGTTGCACTGAGTCCTCTCTCTGCTTGCTGTGAGTGCCTGAGCCAGGTTTTAGTCTGATTCCTGGGAGGGCCCCATAGCTGTGGTGTGGTGGTGGAGCTCCTCATGTGGCTTGGCTACTCAGGCACTGAGAACCACAGAACAACCTTGTGCTGGCTGTGAGCCAGCCTCACACCTGGTGAAGGTAGTACAGGATGGTGAAGGGTATACAGCATCAGATGTGGTGCTTTCTGGTGTGTTCCCTGGAAATGAGTATGCTAAAGTGGCAAGGTTTTTTTTTTTCCTGTGGTAAAGCCCTGACAAGCTGTATCTTCCCGCTACAGGGACGATCAAGGAGATTCTTGGAACTGCCCAGTCTGTGGGCTGTAGCATTGATGGCAGGCACCCACATGATATCATTGATGACATCAATAATGGTGCAATTGAGTGCCCAGCTGTAAGTATCCATCTCTGACTGAAATTGCTGTATAGGCTATTTAATAAAAGGCTCTCTACTAATGAGCTGTATTTGCTTCTTTCAACAGAGCTAAGACTGCAGAAAAGAAGTTGCCATATGAAGGCTCCTTAAGTTTTTTGTAGCACCTTAAATACTTAATAAAAGACCCAGTTGTCTGCAAACAGTGCTGCTGGCTTAATTTCTCCTTGTCCTATGCCGCATGAATAGTGGGGTTTGGCTGGGGACCACCTGCCCTCTCATCAACCAAGGTGATGGTTCTTACACAAACTTCAAAGCTAGAAGATGCTTATTTCCCATTTACTGCCCTGAAGTCATATGCTTGCAGCAACACCGAGCTTTGAGTGGAGTTGCCTCAAGCCAGCACTCCCAAACACACTGTAAAGAGCAAACATTGTTAACTTGTGTCCTGTGTAAAGCTTTGTGTGCTCTGTTCTTGCCAGTGCTGGATGTGCAGCTCAGAGCAGCAGGTGTTGCCTGAGGCAGGCGCTGTAGTAACAGGTCCACCTTCCCCTGAACCACTACAGCCAGGATGCAAACACATACTGAGGCCTGAAAATAATTTTGCAGGCTGCCTGCCTTGTAACCCTTTGCTAGAGTAGCTGCATGTGCTTGTGGAATGGAAGGGCTCTGACTAGTCCCTGTTTGAAATGAAATCCAAGGTGTGGCTGTTCAGTCAGCATTCCCAGGGACTGCAGGAGCCAGGGAGAATACCTTCATGTGTCTGGCATTGCCTCTAGCCCATCATCATTGGGAGGAACCTATGGCTTAGGTGGCATTGTGGGTTTTCCATTGTAGAACAGGTTAGATTCTTCACTTGGATTTTTCTCCTGCCTTGAAGCAGAGGAGATACTGGATTTTCTTCTGGTGACCAGGACAAGTACACACACTAGCTTGAGCTGAATTTCTTTTCTTTTTTTTCTCCTTGCTGAAGAGGAAGAAGTCCCTTGATTATGGGTGAAATCCTGTGGTCCTCTCTGTTTCAGAGAGTTGTAAAGAGCCCAGTCTCATGTTTCTTGGGTCTCCTGGTTCCTTGAATTGTGATACTGGGGGAGCAGGGTAAGCAAGCTCTGTAACCCCTCTTTACATCGTATGTTCCAGGTCCTGGTATATTCTCTGAAAGAAAAAGAAGCAGTTTAAATGTATTTCTTTTTGTGGGGGCATTCTGTAAATCAAGTGCTACTGCTTGTCAAGAATGGATCCTAAAACCAGGCTGAGCCACAAAACTTGTGTTTAGCAGTAGATATTCCAGCTGTTTCTGCTAGTAACTGTACCCTGCAGGAGTGCCAACCTAACCTGCTGATGAAGAGCTGCTGCTCATAGACAAAAGGAGTTTGCTCTACTAATGGCTCTTGCTGAAGGAAAGGCAGCTTGCTTGCTTCAGATAGAAAACCTGTCAGAGGTGTCCATGCCCATTATGGTATAGATTGGGGTAGGGATGTAAGTGCAGCTATTGAAAAGCACAGTGAGGAAAGAGCAAAAGGTTTAGCCTTGCTTATCCAAAATTAAATTTTTTGGCAAAGCTCTTGAGGAGGGCCTTGCAAACACCATGATCTCATCCAATGAGGATGCAAGGAACTGAAGTTCAGCTATAGCACATCTACCTATTTAACCTTGGAGAGGTTCCTGTGTGTTTCAGGCTTGATGCTTGAAATCATTGTACTTCACAGTATTTGACACGTGGTTCTCACACCTGAAAGCTCTGTCTAGCTGTTACAGTGGTGCAGCCGGGGGGGGTGGATAGAACCAGAGTCCTTCAAAGATCCGGGGGAAACTTCCTTCTATTTCTAGCAAAGGCTGGATTTTCCCTTGGGGCGGCACAGCACAAGGGATGATCTTTGAGGCTGTGGAAAGCTCTTAGAAGTGAAGTGAAATTACCCTGGTAATAAGAATGCTTTAGCTGACTCTGAGGTATTACTAAAAGCCCTATTAACAGCAGCATTATGATTGCAGTTTACTTCAGCCCTAACAGAGCGGGCGGGGGGGAAGTCCTGAGTGTTAATTTACATCTATTTTTCCAAAGGGAAAGGGCATCAAATTGTTTTCAGGATGCTGAACTGTATGAGCCTTGGTCTCAGAAAAACATTCTGCAAGGTATGTTTTCCTCCTCTGCAAAGTGGTGACAGTACTTGATCAACTTTTTTCTTGCCAGCATCTCTTGCAGATAACTCTTAATGTTATTCTTATAGGGTACTTACAGCCCCAGAGGAAAACTTTCTGGCTGGAGCTCTACTGCAGCGAGCAGGACTCTAAAGCGGTGTCCATTGCAAGAATTGGGGGAGGAAAAATAATAGTTCTGCTAATACTTCTAGGGGTGTGTAGGAGAGAGTATGGTATATGTGCTAGTTGGGCTTCTAAAGTTTGTTGAATGGGGTCTAGATTATTTATCAGGATCTGCCTGAGCCCTTTGTAGGAAGAAGCCAGTGCAGCAGGAGGGTGAAGTTGGCTGCAGCAGGGAATTGTCTGCTGCTGTGTCAGACATACCAGGTGCTGAATGAGCTGGAGCCTCTGTAAAGAGGAAAACTCAAGTCTCCAAATAAATTCCATCCCAAACTGAGTGGGAGGAGGTGAGCACCTGTAGTAATGTTTATTTCTAAAGTATATTCAAGTAAAGTGTTGTTTTCCAGTATACAAAGCACTCTGTAATTCCTAAGCAGCTTTAGTTGAAGGCTACTTGGATGCAGAGCAATTGTGAGCTGGTTTGGTGAAACTAAACCCTTGTGTTTGCTCTAGCTTAAGGCAGGAGTGTGGCTTGGGCTGAGCCTTCCCTGCTGCCTCTCAGCACACAGCAGTCATGCCCTAGGAATGTATCTTGTACTGCTTGTGAAGCATAAAATGTACATTGTGTTAGCAGCGGGATCTTCAGAAATCACCTCTATCTGCACGTGATTTAACAACAACTGCTTCTTTGACAAGACTTCCGTTTCATATCTGCTCTACTTCTGCTAAAGTACCTACTAGTGAAGCAGGTAAAACTTCACAAAGGTGGACCCTGGGAAAGGAGAAGTCTCCTAACCTGTCCTTGCAAGATCCAAAATGCCAGGCCAGCATCAAGGCCCAGCCAAAAGAAACTGCAAATCATGTTTGTTTTCCACCATAGTCCTGTTTTCTGAAAAGTTCAATGAAGCAACAACTCTGTAATTTTGCACTGAGCTCATGGGCAGGAGGGAGATGCATGACAGCACCAAGGGAGTTGCCAGGATCTTAGGAGAAAGATCAGGCTGGCAGTGTAGCGGAGGGTAGGTGACTGCTGGAGCGGGGATGCGCGGGTGGAGGAGTTCAGGCTGACCGGTGCATTTACGATTTCTGAGAAGATCCACGTTTGTCCTTTGTTCCCTGATGAAATGCGGGTACATTGCTCCGGTGACTTGGGGGCCATGGAGATTGAAGACTGGTTGTAGTGAAATAGGGAAAAGCATGACGAAAAAAAAATTAGCTTTTATCAGATGAAACAGCCATGGCAGACACCAATTTTACAGTACATCCCAAGCTGTGACTCTCAGTGTGGAGGGAGGAGCTGGTCCCTCATTCCTAAAGCAAAAGTGGCAAAGCCTGACCCAGGTGTCCCCAGAAATTGTGGTTCTCTGCAGAACCCGCAAGGTTTTGCCCACAGACTGTTACAGTCTGTCTGTTCCTTTATAACATGGGCTGTATCTTGGGCAGCTTTGCCCACAGTCCAGGCCCTTGCTGGCCTGTCTCGGCTAGCTGCCTGTCCTAAGCTCTGCACGCAGGCAGTGCAGGATTTTGGGCAGCTTCTTCAGCTGATAGAAGCAGAAAACAGGAGAGTTTGTGGCTTTGCTCTTTCGTCTGCTTTTTCTCCTGCTGTCTGTAGGGCCTTTTTCTGAGGCAACCAGGGAATAAAACAAGGCTGAAATGCCAGACACTTGCCATCTTTAATTCCTTGGCTTGGAGCTGACCACATATCAAACTAGGAACGGTGCTTGGATGCTCTCTGAACCAGGGTCAGGTGTGGTTCCTCATGCTCTGTAACCTGGCACCTTCCCCACCTCTCAAAGGACATGAGTTGCAACAATTTCTGATAAGGTATAGGGGGAAAAAAATCTTCTGTGATGAGTGGTCACAGGCTGCAACAGGGATGTGGTGGGGTCTCCATCCTTGGAGACAGACAAAGGTCAGCCTGACACTGTCCTGGGCAAGCTGGCCTGTCTGCATGTTGGGCGGATGGTTGGATCCCTTCCAGCTGAAGTTACGCAGCGATTCCACGACAAAGCTGCATGAATGTTCAAAAAACGGGTAGATGTGGCACTTCGGGACATGGTTTAGTCTAGTCTACCCTTGATTGGTTTAGAGTGGACTTGGTGGTGTAGGTTAATGGTTGGACTGGATGATCTTAAACGTCTTTTCCAACCTAAACGATTCTATGATTCTATGAATGCTTACATTACCTGAGGTAGGACAGCCTGGCAGCACCCCTTTCAGCAGCAATTTTAGTTTAAAGAGGTTTACAGTGTTTGTTGACCCTGGTGTTGATCCCCCACTTTGGTGTGAACCCCAAGAGCCTCAGGAGCCATCAGTGTCATGGGTGCCCAGGGGTGTCCTGTGTACCAGTACACACACACACACTGTGGTTTTTCCCCCACTTGGCAGTGCTGGAAATAATTGGAAAAATGATTTCTTTTGCTTAAGGGAAACTCTCTTGGGGCAGAATACATAACCTTTCCCATGCTACCTTAGGGCACATGCTCTGGTGGAAGCAACGTAGTGTTTGGAAGGAGGGTACTACCCTGCCAATAATTCATTTTTTCTAAACCAGGCTTCTTAGAAAGGAGGCAAAAGGCTTGTTAAAGATAGTAACAACCTACATTAACTTCACATTTAAAATCCATCTTCTTCATAACTGTTTGTGCTCCAAAGCCAGGATTTCTTCCCACTCTGGTGACCTATACCTTCAGGAGAAAATGAAAGGGACATTGAGAAGCGCTGAGCCCTGCCCAGGAGACCTTTGCTCTGGTGGCATAAGGGATTTGTGCGCTTTAAGGAGAATTAGCTTTCTCATTTCCCTGAGACAAAACAGGCTCTGAAAAGCCAAATCTTTAGGATTCATGTCTTCCTGCGTTACAAAATGTTAGGATAGAAAATCTGAATTTTGTTATAGCTTGGTGTAGGGTACGAAAGGCCCACGGGGCCAGCTTCCTTCCAC